CTGTCCCTCAATCTGGTGGTCCCCACCTTTATGGTCCTATAAGACCTACCAGAGGGAAGGGGAGAGAAAAGTGGAAAACGAGGGTGATTGTCATCCTCTGCAATATTCTCAGCCTTCCTCAGACAGTGGGTCGTAAAAATGTCCACAATACGGGGAACCGGAACCCAACAAAGGAACGGGCCCAACCGGGCAACCCCTGTAACGCCTTTCAGTTAGACATTGAGCTGCTGCCAAACCACACTGTAATAACACGTGAGCACACTCTCAATAGCGCACATGTAGTATGTAGTATGTAGTATGTAGTATGTAGTATGTAGTAAGAATATCTGAAAATAGACCAAATCTTTCAACCGTCTGAGGAAGTAAGGTGCTGTTGTGTCTTCGTTGTAGCTCCGCATTACATGATTGGACCACATCAAATCGTTAGTAATGAAGGTACCCAGGAAGTTGAAGCTGTTAACCATTTCTACAGCCTCCCCACTGATGTGAATAGTCAGCCTGCCTTGGAAGTGTCAGTGTAATAAAACAACTCTGAAAACTGGGAAAACAGCCAGCATCTCCACCCCCAAAAACCTCTGCACTACAACTTCATCTGGCAAGATTGTGGCCGGTATTTCTTCATGACTGACCAGGTCTTCAAGAGGCCAATCGAAAGGGTCCGCATGTACAGAATACATGATGGCCACAAGAAGTGAAGTCGGGGAGGCTTTATTGTAGTTCTTTCCAGGACAGAAGCAAACCAGCCACCACTATCACCATTCCTGCCCTTTAAATCTTAATTAATCTTAACTTATTATCCCCCATTATGAGACTATTTATCAATGTTGGAGGCCATGTAGAGACATCTCGTGTAATTAAAGTCCTTTCCTGGGCGCTTTCCACACCCTGCAATTCAAAAGGAGTTCCGTCACTCAGCTGTGTGCCACAGAAAACTACAAACACTGGTCATTGTTGTGTTAACCATTGATGTCAGAGCTGCATCAAGTCTGTTCAAAACAGTTTGGGACATTGACAACAGTGTCCTGATAAACAATGTTTAACAATGTGAGATTTTGGACAGAGTTCATGTTGGACAGAATGCCATGTGCCAGTATAGTCTTAAACAGTTAAATAAAACTTCCTAGAGCCCCAACCGCTATTTGTTCTGACAGTTCGATTCTGCAGTGGTTTTTAAGACTATGTGGTTAAAGAAGAGTTAAGTTCTATAATTATGGTATTGCTAGTTTAATGGGCCATCAGAGTGTGTTGAGGTGATGTTTGATCACATTAAGGAATGATATTTGGGAATTACAGTATCTTATATTCATATTTCTCAAATAAAGAACTCCTTTAACCCCTCTGATTATCATTGTGGAGTTTCAGCTCAGCATTTATACATTCATGTGATTACTTGTTTGGTGACATTTTTGTCTCTTATAGGAAGACGATTATCACACAGTGTGTTTAAGCTTGTCTGAATCACCTGGCATCGTTGGGAAGCAGCACATCTTCACATGTGGTTTGCATCGTCTCACCACATAACAGATGACATGAGCAGGCAGCCATTGGAGCAAGGTTCAATAGTTTGCAACATCTGCAGTTTTTAATTTCCGGTCTAGAAGACTGCTTAAGAATGGGAGAGGTCTGATACAAGGCATAACCAATCCAGAATACATTGATCTAAAATATTTTGTCTGGTTAAGACTCAGCAATTGTAACTTTCAGAACAGTAGGTCATTTCACTTTTACCACCAGTAAAGTTCATTAAGAAAAAAGTCACAATATTGAAAATAAAGTGCATAGGTAATCCCCTAAGAAGTAGGTCAGGTATTCTGGCCTTGCAGTAGTAAGCATGTTTCTGTGTTCAAGTCCTGATGACCTGAAATGGGATTCCTGCCTCAAGATTAGGACAGCAGATTTATCGCAGTGTGAGGAGTCTGGGTGAGTTTTGCAAGTAGAACCATTCCCAGGAATTTCCAAGAAGACAAAGTTGTTACAGTGAGGACTAGAAAATATGGGGATTTTGGCTTTTCTTGTCATAGAGTCAGATTTCTCATAGCTCGTTTTAAATTTGCATTGTTTTTTTAAAAAAAAAACGTCAATGTATTTTTTCCATTTCACATTTTCATTGCCTCTTGTGATGTGTCTTCGTGAAAGACGTGCATTACAGAGTAAAAAGTTATGACACCAACAAAGGAACTTTCATTCTGATCTCCACGCCTTTGCACAGATGTTTTTGTCTTCTTTCCATTCTTGACTTGAAGATGTTTGCTTACTCTGACATAAGAGTGAAAAACGAACTTAAAACATTCAAGGAAAATAATAAAACAGCACAGTATCAGAGGAATATGACTGTTTTTCCTGCAAGAGTGGAAAATACAGGTCATTTGTAAAACAGAAGAAAGCTTGCTAAAAGGACATGGCACTTCTCAGTAAATGAGCTCGTAAACTACCATTGTCAGAGCTGAAGGCTTAACCACAGTGAGAGCGTCACAGGCACTATATGTGCAATGATATAAAAACAGGAAAGAGCAAAACCTCATCTGATAAACGCATGGCAGAACGTGTATGCACATTTACCGAACAGATAATATCTGTAAAATGAAAGGATCACAGAACACTTGTGAGAAAACAATGTGAAATATCACATATACCTTTTATGTGTTTCTTCTTAGGCGCAGTCATATTTACAATGCAGACTACAGTATATACAGTATATAACATCTTGTGATAACCAAATACCTGTCTGAGGTATACATGTGTACAGTATATACTGTATATGGAACAAGTAATAGGCTTATTCCATGCTGAAATAAAGAAGAAAGAAAACACAACGTTTCGGCCGTGGAGCCTTCTTCAGGTGTGACCCGAAGAACCTGACCTCACACCTGAAGAAGGCTCCATGGCCGAAACGTTGTGTTTTCTTTCTTCTTTTTTTCAGCATGGAATAAACCTATCACTTGTTCCTTTACAGCCTACGCATGCTGAAGCAGCTACCCACCTGATATACTGTATATGTATGTTTGCAAGCCTATAATGTGCATGTTTATATACAAAAATGTATGAATTTCTTTTACTGTGTAAATTGTAAAACGTAAAATTTTCATTATCCAAAATAAACATTTACTGCATTAGCCTGAAAAATGCCTTTAAGTGTTATTTTGGAAATTATTTTCATTTGTCCAAGTTTCCTTTGACAAGAGGGTATTATTGTGGTAAAACATAACTGAGGAGTTTAAGGGCATAATTAAACATAAAATGCTGATGATAAGCCTCGATAATTCTATATTTTATATTTCCTCCCTAACAAGACAAAATGCACATGATCAAATTTAAATAAATTACAATAATTGCCATTCTGTTCCCTCATAAAATCCAATTCCTCCTCTAAAGTAAATATTCAGTGTGTAGACTCAAAAAAGTAACGTCTGTCTGTCTTTTCAAGACATAGTTTAATCAGCATATCGTCAAGTTTTAATCGACCTTTTTTTAACAGAAACTTGACAAGCTGCCAACTTGTCTTGTCCTTGCAAACTCCGCTCTCCTACGAGAAACTATCTCGCCTCACGAACTTCCCCTCGCTGGTAACTCTCTCACCTACTTCTACATCACTTTCAGCCCCTGAGCTCGTTCATCATGAGGGTCCCTCCATCCTAATCTAATCATCGGTGTTGTTACTCAGGAACCGGCAGGTTAATTTCGTGCAGAGAAGTGAAAACAGGAAGAAAATTTCGGGTGTGGTGCCCCTACAATGATGGTGATAACGGGAAAGGTCACGCATATCGGGAGAATGGCACCCTGCGACGCGGAAATCTGAGTGACCAATTCCCGTGTCAGGGAGATGTCTTCCTTCTTCTCTTTCCCTTAATCCCCCCACACACGGGAAGAGGCTCCACAACTGAAACTATTTTGTTTCTTCATATCTCAATGCTCGACGCGCAGTTAAACCCTGTTTGGTCCCTGTCGCTCCCCCGCTGCCATAACTTCGCCACTGGAAGCCCCTCAGTTATCAGAATCCATCATTCAGATTAAAAATAATTTAAAAAAATCAATTCGAAAATTGAAATTTGAAAGGGAATAATACATGATTTCATACACGTAATGCAGACTCTGTGTTTTTATTTCCAGTTTGAAGTGTTACACCTTTAATTGTGTTTCATCTCAAACACAAGGTCAGTAAACTTTACGAATAAATTACACACGGCAACATAGTATTCACTCTGAACATCTGTATACAAGGGCAATTCCGGAATGGTGTGGATTCCAGCAAATTTTGAAAGGTGTATTTTAAGATGGGAATTTACAGTACATTGCCGTTAACTACTGCATGTCTGTAAAACACGTTTATATTAAAGTATTTTCAGTATCTCCACTGATAAATTAAAATAAACACCACAACGATAGACTGTCAATCGCTACTACCCAGACATTAACAGTATTTAAAAACTTTAAATTCCTAAATACAAGACTAATCCCATGCGGATATGTATGAATTTTAAATTTAAATCTGCTTTCCGATTGGTCACTAGAGAGAAAATATGCCAAGGACAGGAAAACAAACACCACAGCAGAGTTGGGCTACTGTAAAAATATTAAACATTATTTCTAAATTATGCTATTTACAGTTTGTACTATTTATAGTTAATTGTATTAATTATATTCATTACTACATAAGTATTCAGAATTATAATTAATTGACTCTGAATGCCCTTGTAGTTTAACATTTGCAAGTATTGTTAAAAATAAAAACTATGAACTAAGAAACAAGTCCATACAATAACTGTTTCATAAGCCATATTCTGATGTCAGGCCTGGGTAAATTCAAAATCTCAGCCCAGCAACCCCAAACTGTCCACACAGTGACTGGTTACCAGATTTTATGTGATATATATATATATGTTTATCCCATGCTGAAAAGAGAAGAAAGAAAACACAACGTTTTGGCAATGGAGCCTTCTTCAGGTGTGAGAAAGCTCCACGGCCGAAACGGTGTATTTTCTTTCTTCTCTTTTCAGCATGGGATAAACCTATTACTTGTTCCTTTGCAGCCTACGCATGGTGACGCTGCTACCCACCTGAACTATATATATATGTTACCAGCAGATATCATGTTTGCAATTAACTGGAATTAGTTTGCAATTAGGTGGTTTGAGGTTTTGATTTGGCCCAGGCCTAAGTCTGATGTGATTTTAGTGAAACTTGTGTTTTATTTTCAATACCGCAGTAAAGATAATGCCCAAAAAAGTATATAAATTAAAGAAAAATTAAAAGAAGTAATGCAGTTGCCAACAAACTTAAAACAAATATATGACAAACAGTAATGTCCAGAAAGTGACACATCAGATAATTACATACTTCAGCAAATAATGAACAAGAATAGTTTAAATGCCTCTTTCATTAGCAAGCTAAATGATAGATATGAAAAAATGTAAATACTAATTCCAATACTTATAACCAATTTTAAATACTGAAAAAAACAAATTGTACCAGGTTAACCCTTTTATTTATTATGTATTACTTTAGTTACAGAATACATCATATTATGTCATGTATTAATTAGTCGAAAACATGTTTGGCTTGTGGAATAAGATCAGAATGGCACACCGGTTTCAGCTCACCATTGCAAACGCGGAGCGTAGTCGCCAAAGCAAGATACTATCGCAACCCGTGGGTCATGTTACCAGTTACCAACCGCATGGTTTCAGTGTCATGTCACGAACGGGTTATTAAAAACACTTACTGTAACTCGAGTTACCATGAAGGAGATTTCTAGAGCACACCTACACCTGCACAACCGTACCGCCGCGTGCGGCTCTTCGGACCGCGGGGAAGCCCGGCTGCGGCTAGCTCGGCGGCGGGGGCCTTTGCCTTGGTCTCGGCCTGGGTGGTGGTTGATCGTCCGGCAGGGGCCCAGCGGTGTGAGGGGGCCTGGACTTCCCTTTGGCCCTGGGCTGGGGCAGCTCGGGTCTGTGTGGGTGGACTGGCGGCCCGCGGGACTGGGATCGTGGAGGGGGCTGCAGCTTCTGCTGGCCTTGACTCGAAGGAGTGGACAAATTACGAAGGGACTGGTCTTCGTCTAATCGAAGGAAAGAAAAACAAAACCTGAAGCATCCTACAGTATACGTAACTGACAGCGTTCCTCATAAAATGTGAAATCATATAAATGAAACAAGTGCCAGTGGCTAACCCTTACTGACCACCGGTCAGTTCTGCCATTTTCTGTTATCTAGCTGTAGATTTGTTTACAAAAATGCAGCTTCATTCTCACCACTGTATGAAGTGCATTAGCCAGACATATTTTATAAATTTGCTCCTTACTTAATAGATATCTTTAAATTATGTGACACCAACATTTATTTGAGATAATTCTCCATAGTATGGTTGTTCAGCTCATGCCTCTTCAAATCCAGTTATTACTGTACAACATTGCTATAAGCAGATCTTATTTAAATTATTTTATTGATATTTAAAACGTTGCATATAATGTAGCAATTGAGGTACGAGTTCTGTCAAACATACTGCAAAGGTGTGAAGTACCGCAGGTTGAACAGCCCAACTCTGTGACTCCCTTTGTTGTGCAGTAAATTAGAAATTAGATTATAAATTGTAAATCCAGTGTTCAGACAGGTAGCCATACCATTTCAAACTGCTAATCATTGCAGCATAAGGGATGCCCACTGACGGGAGTCCTATATAATTAAATCATAAAATTCAAATCAAGTAGCCTTATGCCAATGCTGTAAACGCATTCGTAAGATTTCACAAACAAGTTTTAGTTCCCACGTTCTGAAGGAGACATTGCTGTTTGCTCAGAGCAGAGTGACAGAGTACGTTTCCAGGCCAGAAGGGGTTTCCAGCACCAACAAGCTGAAAGATCCTCTCTCATCCTGAGCAGCTAAGACTCTGAGAGGACTTTGTGTCCTCTAGCACCGTGTTTGGAAACCCCAAGCTCAGCCTCACTGGACATCTTCAGCTGTGAAAGCTGGACGAGCCGGCACAGGTGAAATCAAGGGAGGGTGCATTTAAGACACTGAGGAAATGTATTAAGAAAAGGGGGCTTTACTTTCTTTATTAGCTAGGAGTCAATCAGCTTCTGGCCACCAACCAAGTTAAAATGGGCCTTAAACTCTCCTTTTATTTCTAACCTTCATAATGAACTTCTTTTCAATGTCAATTTGCATCCACGTGCTTATTTATGTTATTGCCTTGTGCTGTCAATTCATATACTGTATATATTTAAGTTACTTTTTGTTTTAATTAGTGTGTTACCCGACAGCACAGCAACAGCAGAGTTTCTGTGTCAGGGTGGAGCACACAGTGACGACACTAAAGAACAGCGAACAGCTATAACTAAGCAGTCATAGGGCAATCGCTCTGAAGACGTAATGTACGGTACCAGAACACTAGTTCAGAAAACAAAAATATTAAATCATATTTTAGTATCAGACTGAGACCGACCTTTGAGTAACTGAAGTATGTACAATATATATGTAAATTAAAACTAAATATAATCCCCTCCAAATACTGAACCTACTGACTTCAATTATAAGCCTTTCAGAGGCTGAACCCCACAAGAAAAGACAAATTTACATGTGGTTTATTACAGGAAAAATATCCTTCAGTCAGAAATGCAGCACAATGCATCTGCTGTATCTGTGTTTTGAACAGATTGAGCACATTGGATAAAACATTAAAAAATGTTTTCCATTTAGGGTGCTGAAGAGGTATTTATTCAGCAATTTAAAATATGAAATAATTTCCAAATACATATAGCCCTAAATTAAGAGAGCATATCCAATGTAAACTTTGTTTAAAATACAGTACGTGCTTATTCAAGTGACTGGTTTGATACTATATTTGTAAAAGCAGCGTTTTCTTTTTTTTTCAAGTGGGACTAATGTGCCCCCAGCGGTTTAACATGTTGATGTATGATACCTCTTCAAAGACATGAGGTTTGTCTGCTTGATTGTACGATTGTCAAAGTCATCACGGCTTCATCCGAAAAAATAATAACATAATAAACATGCAGGAAGAATCCAAGGGTGTAATTAAATCCTGGGCCCTACTTCTGTAAAGCACTACCTGCAACTGCCCTACAAAACTGACAATTTCATTTACAAACTAGGTTTCATACAGTAGGTTACCACATTCATGCTGTACATTCTACAACCAAAAAACATCAAATGCCAATCAACTTATACAATTTCTAGAGAAACCTCCTTACTAACTTTAGATGAAATATATGTCTTTCACACGGGTGACACAGTGTCACAGTGATCACCATTGCAAGGGTTTAACTCCCTGGGTTTTAATTCCTGGGCTGCTATCTGAATGGAGCTTGTATGTTCTCCCCATGATTGTGTGGGTTTACTCTGGGTGCTCCAGTTTCCTCCCACAGTTTCCTCCCACACCCTAAAGGCACACTGCTGTTTTCTGGGAAAATTGGCTCAGGGCTGTGTGTGTTTATGTGTCCATGTGTTCCCTGCATCCTATCCAGGGTGTTTCCTGCTGTGCGCCCGTTGATTGGCAGTTTAAGCTCTGACTCCCCTGCGACCCAGTGCTGGGGAAAGAGGTAAAGAGGTTAGAAAAAGGATGTCCGAAGTAGATTCTCCAGTGCACTACACACAGAGAGCGGTTGAATACAAGCCTGTTGTGGGTGTGGCAAGATGGTCGATAGTGAACGTCTGGTGAGTAACACAAGTGTACGACTATAATCAACACACGGTTTCTCTCTTTTGAAGGACCAACATTCTCTTCCTCCCCAGAACCAATTCAAATTGAAAACCTTTGGGGTGAAAGAATAAGGAAAAATCCCAGGTATTTCAGGATACCTGAAAATTCCTCCCAGTTCGACATTTAAGGACCAAAAAAGGAGGACATGTCTGGGAGAAATCGGATGTATGGTAACCCTATGTGAATGTAGAAATCAGACCCGAATCAGTCTGATGCCTCACTGGGAGCAGAGCACATGCTCGCAGCCAGGCAAAGAGATAATGTGTGAGTACAGGAAGGGGCAGATGAAAACACAACATTGCTGGGTCCGAAGTTGAGATGAACAGGGAAAATCAGAGGGAAGAAAGTGTCACGGATGTCGGAAGGGACGAACCGTGGAATGGCAGGAGAGCGGAAAAAGACCCTAGCGCCGAGACGGGGGTTAGCCCGGGCTCAGCTGTTCAGGAAATGCCGTATAGAAACCTATGCCCTCAGGTAACGGACGTGGGGCGACCTGGTGCTAGGCGGGTCTCAGGACATCCGAACCTCAATGCAGAGAGTGGAGCAGAGCAGAAGCAGGAAGTTAAATAGGCTACACAACAAGAAAACATTAATAATCACAGGGAACTAGGAACAGGACAGAAGTAGAGCGCCCTCTAGGTGTACTGGGCGTGACAGAAAGACCAAAACAGGCAGACCACAGAAAGAGTTAGAGTGAAGGATTGAGAGAAAAGATGGGCATAGAGGAAGGGGCAGACGATGGCCCCAGTTATGCAGCTATTCTGGAGCTCCCTGCAGGGGTGGCATGACCTATCATCTGAAGGAGAAGGGAAAATGGCCACTCTGGAGAGCATGTGGAAAGGGTGGGACGCCTTTGCCTAACTTATAGAAAAGTTGAGGCTGAACAAGAAGAAGGATTTGGCTGCTGGAAGAGTGGAGTTGTGTGGCTGACATATGGAAAGATGGAGGTAGGAGGAAGCTGGTTGCAGTGAGTCTTGCCAGAAGGGAGACAGGGGGCAGGAAGGATTTGATGAAGGGTGCAAGTGTTAGAGACTGGGGTTTGGAGTTCTGGGGAGTGTTGAGTTCAAGATGCATTTCTTGAGTTCAAGAACGCATTTGCCTTCCAGATCAGGTTGGAGTTCCATGGTTACTGACTTGTTGGAAAGAAGAAGAAGGTGAGGTCTTCTAACACCTGCAGGAAGCTCAAACATTACGTTTTCTTTCTTTCTATTTTTCCATGTGTAATTAACCTCTAGTTTTTCCTTTGATTTTCCTGAAAATGATTATGCCTCAATGAATTTGTTCCACTGCACACACATTGTTTTGCACCATGTTTTCCAACATATTTGTAGATCTAGTTTCCCCTTCTTACCTTGACATTGGCGCTGTTTTCTCTTTTTCTGACATTGGTAGACAAGAAGAACGGAGACCAAGATGATCAGAAGAACTCCTCCACCCGCAATTGCAGCAACAAAGTACCAGAATTCAAGGCCCAGAATCTTATTCCTCCTGTTTACTGGACAAGCACGGGTTAAATGAGATTATAATGGGACAGTTATCGTTCTGATGCACAACTATAATGTAAAATGGATAACAATTCTTAATATACAGTAGACATTCTTTGTCTAACTAAAAAGCAATTAAAATAATAAACAAAAATAATTACTAGTTGAACATAAGCTTGTTAATTTTCAACAGACAAAATGTATTTGGAAAAACTTGCTTATCATAACTTTTTCTAATTTACTTTTCAATATCAATAACAACAACAAAAACAATTGAATGTCAATGATGGCTTAGAAATGGGCTCTGTAAAATAAACATATAAAGAAAATAAACTATGGATTTTGTTATAGTGCAGTTATAAAAGTACAGCTATTATTTATATTCTATTGAAATTAAAAAATAATATAAAACTTCCAAGTACAGGTAAGTGGTGGTTATTACTTGCTCTCTTAGAACCATATCATGAAAAGCTCAGTATTAACACCAAGGAGTATCAACTCCATTTCCTTAACGAAGTTTTAATCAAATGAATTGGGGAAGGTCAAACCGTGATCTCTTCCACTTCTGGATCACGTTTCTATCTTACTAACTGTCACGTTCGTAGACTCTCCAGCCCTTCCTTGTTTTCCACTCATCGCCTGCACCTGCTCCCTGTTCTACCCCCTTTCAGTTCTCCTTAAAAGCCAGGCGCTCACTTTATTCGGGGCTCTGCATTTGATTCCAATATCGTGCGAGTTCGGGACCTGTATTCGCCTGGCTCCGTCATGTTTTAAAACGTTCCTGTTCCCGTTCCCCCCGCCGGTTCCGACCCGGTTCCAGTTTTTATCTTGTTTTTCTTGGATGGACCGACCGGTTTTGGACTTTTGCCTCCTTTTGGATTCTCCCTTGGACTTCTTCCTGGATGGTTTGCCTCGGCCACACCTCCCCCGAACACCAGCGCACTAAGGACACACCCCCTGTTTTCATCCCCGATTCCTGCATGGCTTTTCCCCCCGTGTTTCTCACTCAACCGAAAGAACTGTTTCGTAACACTAACAAGTTTCCTTTTGCATGATAATATTCTTGCACTCATAAGAGACAGACCTCGCTGTACAGCTCTCCAAGACTCCTTCACCTTCAGCCTGTCCAAACCCCAGGGCTATGCCAAATTGGCAAGTAACGTAAGCCAGACTGATTACACACATTTCTACATGGCCAAAACCAGCAATCTTCCCTCCACCAGAGCAATTCACTCTCAGCTCTTCTAGCAGCCACACAAGTCTGTTGTTCCTGCTTGCGATGGACAGTAGCCTACTCGCTGGAGTCCCCACGCCATCCTCCATTCTCCTGTCCTGATGAAGTTACCACTCCACAAAGCACACAGTGCCCCTGGGGACACCTCCCATTTCTCTTCCTGTTTTCCTGGCGGTTGTCGGGTCTGCTCTTCCCCTGCTCCTGTCTTCTTATTTCTTCATTGTCCGCTTTCAGCCACAGCAATGTCTTCCACCTTCTGTCTCCTGCCCACCCCCCTCCTCCCCAGCCTGTGGGCCCACAGCTTCACACTGTACTGGCTCTGCACTCCAGGGGTCTGTCCTGCAGCCCCCACCCCAGAGCTGCCTGTCCCATTCGCAGCTGCTGACAGTCTGACCCTGCTGTCCCCTTCTTCCACTGCTTCCCATTGCCTTCACTTATCTACACCATGCTAGTTATTTCAATACTTTTATGCTGCATTTTAAATCTTCTACACAATGTTAAAGAAGCACAAAGCTAATTATTCAGAATTCACTTTTTTATTTTTAAGTGCCCCTGTTTGCACCTTCATAAAGGAATGATTAACTTAAACTCTCTGTGAAAATGTACGGTACCATGACATTTAAGACAAACTAAGAGAAAAACAAAATCTGTCACATGCTATAAACTTCTACTCATTTTATGACTGAGCCAGTAGAGCAATGAAGTAGCATCTCTGAGGACAACTGAAAGCTTCTGTTCTGAATTTGCAATACTTGCTTACCTTCAGCTGTACAAGGTACTGAACTTTCATTTTTCACTTTAGTTCCACAGTACTGTACTATGCATGCAAACCTATCAGTAGGTTCATACTGTGCATTTAAAACCAATGTTTTGTTATCATTTTTAAAGGTAGCTCTTGTGTCATCTATTCGTTTTCCATTCCTTTCCCAATAGATTGCAGATTCTGGAGCATGTGTGAAATCGCAATGAATCGTTAGTTTTGGTTTGCACATGAATGCCAATGATGGCTTAGGAATGGGTTCTGTAAAAATAAACAAATAAATAAAGTTATGGATTTTAGGTATGGTGCCTTTATAAAAGTACAGCTGTTACCTATATTCTATTGAAATAAAAAAACATGAAAAACACTTTCACAAGGCAAGTGAGCATTTTTAGTAACCTCAGTATTTTTAAAATAAAAATAAATACCCCCTTTAATACAGTAGATTAATAGACTAAGAAAGTTTTTCAACAAAAAGTAGAGTATCAAAATACATATACCCTGAAGCATACCTAAAGATTAAAAACAAGGGAACTAATATGTCATAGACCTTTACACAAAACAATTCAAACTTCAGCTTAAGTAGTAAAATTCATAAAACATTCTTCATCAAAATCAAATGTTTTAACCACATCACACAGCGTTAGAGAACACCAGCTGAGAGGTTCTCATTTGCTCAGATCTGTATCAACTCTGACCTTTTAGCTAATACTTGGCTTATAAAGGGAATGCTTTTGGGAATGCATACAAGTGGCAATCATTGTATTAGCTCTCATGGTACCTTACTTACTTATGACTTGTAGACTTATGACAGCTTCATGAATTAATTGCCCTTGTGTATTAAAGACTTTTGCAGAATAATTATTTATGGCTATATTTTGTAAAATTCCCAGTTCGAGAGTCCCATCTTCAGAAATATTGAGGAGTCCAGATTTCAGTCCATTTTTTATTCTTCCAAGAGTATGTGTGCTGTTTCTCCAGGTTATATCTTTTATATCCTTGGGCTTTTCCTCAGGTTTCCATAATTTCAATTCCTCACGGTTTCCCAAAACGGTGCAACGTTTTTCTTTTTTGGTAGTAAGACAATATATGGAAAAAGAAAAAAAAAGTAAATGAATACTGTTCAGCTTCACACATTCCAATAAATAATTATATTGCCTTTGTTTCTGCAGAAAATTCTGTGCATACCTTTTGTCATTCATTTCCCTTTGATTTGTTTATAAAAAAGAAGAGGGAAGACCAGAAGGAATGATCATAGAAAAAAAATCGGGCTCATCTAGCTGGATTGGATTCTATTCGCTGCTGTAAATGACCTGAGGATTTCAGGAAGGTGTTTCTTTAAGGAAGCCATGGTACTAGCTTTGAAAACATGGGTGATAGCTTGTGCCAAACTTATACAACCTTTTGCGTAAAAAAGTACCACCTCTTCTCAGCTCAACTGAGCTTTCCCATAATTAATCATTTCCACATGTGTCCTCTGGTACAGGTTACACTGTGGAGTTTGAAACAGTTCAATGGGTTGACTTTCCCAGTATCATAACAGATACATACTTCAAGATGGCATGCTTACAGTGTAGTCTTTCTTCTTTTAAACTAAAAGGAAGAACTAAAATTCTTTTAGCTTGTTGTAATAGGTCATTTCTTAAAACCCTAGAATGTGCCTGGTTGCTCTCCACCGAACTATATCTAAAAAAAAGGATGTATTTTTTCAAAATTGTTTTGTTGTATTCTAAATGAGGTCTTACTATTGCATTATATAATTTTAACAAGCTGTGTCTTTAGTTGTATATTCTATCATTGTGAATGAGCCACTCATAAATAATGAAGCCGACTAAAATAAACCAAAAGATGTGCCTAATTTGCCTAAGACCAGCAGGTCCATACTCCCATAACTCCTATTACATCTAAGAGAATGGAAACAACATTCAAAAATGAGAATGTCTATAGTAAGATTCTAGGTGGGAGACCAAATGGTTTTAAAAAAGGAAGATCTTATTTAAATAATGTGTTACAGTTCTTTAAACAATCAAAAACATTGCAGGACACTCGATAAAGTTCTTTGTGAAAGATTAATTCTTGATTAGAAAATGGAAGGCATGCCAGGATATACATGTATTTGGTAGTTTCGTAAGAAAAGAAAATACTATAGATAATGGATATAAAGGATAAAAGGATGTAATTAGTGAAGAGCCTCTGGAATCTGTATTAGGATCACTGCTCTTCCTAATGTATGGAAGTGAAAGTAATTTCTTATTGTCGTTAAACTAGTCCATGATGATGCCAAAACAGGAGCGTTATCAAATCTTAATGCAGAGGAGGAGATCCGGACAGGTTCAGACAGAATTCAAGATTAGGTAAACAGATGTCAAGTTGACAAGTAGGGAGTTACAAGCAGGTAGCAAAAAAATATACGACATGTTTAATATGGGAAATACTGAACTTGCAGCAACTTACATGAGAAGTACTTTACAGATGTATGGATATATAATAAAAGTATAACATTTAAATCAAGCAATGTTTTGAGAAATTGTATAGTATCAGGAAGCCCTCATTTAAAATATTCTGTAGAATTTGTGTTGCCATCTTACAATACAGAAATGACTATTTTGGAACTAGTCCAAAGAACAGAGCCCTGGCCCTTTCCAGGTTTTAAAGGAATATCAATCGCGATATTGAAACAAGGACGGCCGAATCTAAACCTTTCTATCTTCTGGCAATAACAGCTGAAGGACCTCACTATAAAAAGACATTCTGAAGTCAGTGACATTGTGGTGAACCAACCTAGCTTGCTCGTGGTTTGCCACTATCTATTGCTATTTCTGTTACAATTTAGAAACAATTCAATTAAAGTATAGACATCACCAGATTTTCCACTGAAAATTAGAAGCAGAAAGGCAAGCAATTGGGTCTCTCATCACCATGAAGCTCCCACCCAGAATGAGTTGCATCACAACAACAGGTCAAAGCTGTGAGGAAGTCCTGGGTTTGACATATAACAGCTGCCTGTGTCACTAATTAGCACCTGCTTGATTAGGCACCAGTGAGGGTGGCACCGAGCACTTGGCTTCACATATGCAGTGTGTCAGGAACACTCAGAAGATGTGACTGCTATCTGCATAATGTGTTGCTGCAGTAAGGAACTCCTATTTTGGGAATACAAAAATACTGAGTCTAAAAATAAACTCATGCAGCATATTCTATGGTTTTTACAGGCATTTCATATATGGAAGTGCACATTCTACGATACATATCCACGCAATTGAAGGGTTTGGTTTATTTCTGTGATAAAAAGGGTGTGCTTAAGAAATATGCAATGAGAAACCAACACACTAACATGGGGACCAAACAAACAGCCTACCTATCTATAACTATCCAGAGCAGAAGGAGAGAAGAGGGAAAATACAATATTAATCAAGATAAAAAGAATAACAAAGAACAATATTGTTTTAAACTAAGTGTCCTTTCTAGTGTTGAGCAGTGATGACCCAAATGTAAAGGCTAAAGCTAACTGATTCACTGATATACTGTAAAACTAATCTCATTGTATGAATATGAACTTCAATTTGAGGTTAATATAACCAACTCCCAACCACTTTTCCTGACATTTCCTATATTTTTTTATGATGAAAGAAATGACCGTGCTCTCTTGAAGTTCAGAAGTGATTTTATTTTGCTTTTATAAACATCAATGATCTATATGCCTGGCTTCCACTCTCTGAAGAATGTGGTTAATATTCACATAATATATTGAACAATATGTTTTTTAGAACAACCATAGTTAATCCTGACTTTGTCCCATTTTAGACAGGTGAAAATAACATGGCTTTAGCCAAATTATTCATTTTGAAAATGTTCTTTTCTGTTAAAAACTTTATTTGATTTTATTTGTTTTTACTCTTCAAAGCTTGGTGGATCTTATGGAAGAAGATTACTATGTATTCTTTACAACTAATCACATTCTAAATGGATTTTCTAAATACAAATCTAAGGTGCAAAATTTGGACTTTGCCAATTTAAATCAGTTTACCTGTGATTAATTTACAGATTCCACTGTAAACTAATGTGAAACACTCAGAAAACATTGGTTTCTGGAGTTTTCTTCAAAGTATTTTATTTAACAAATTAAAGATATTTAAACAATTAAATTTATCTTTCAAATTATTTTTTTTCCCATTATTCCAAAGTATAGGTTAGTTCTTAATTATTGTGTAGCAAATATAAATCAATATTGTTTTTTAAACGTTTACAGTAGGGATTTTAATACCAAATACAAATACAATAATTTTAAAAAACATTTTAACTAAGTGAAGCATTCATATTCACCATATTCATTCACAGATAAAACAAAGTAACAAGAAATCCAGTAGCTCAATTTAAGCCTTGCTCATAGATATATTAAATGCAAAGACTTGTATTTTTTTAAAAATCATAATTTTTACTTAAGAGCTTGTATTTATTTAGATCTCTAAGTCCCTTACTGAATGATGAGTTCAGTTTATTCTGAATAAATGGAATTGAATTTCTTTTTGAAAGATGACATACAATTTAATCTTTTAAAGAAACTGTAAAATAGTTATAGGAAAATATTTGTCAATAACTGAATATTCAGTTGGACAAGGAGGTATGCAATTATTTTACCTACTGTTAGTTGTGAAAAAGTCCCTTTCACTTCTCAAGAATAATTAAAACGCAAATATCCAAATTATAAATAAAGTTATAAAGAAAAAAGAAACTTAAATCACTAAAAAATTTATTAGCTTTACCAACCAAATTAATTGCTCTTTTTTTAACCTTTATACCAGTATTACAGATATAGAAAACAACGACAGGAAATGAATTATGAATTACAAAATATCAATTTTTCAGATACAAATATTTAAAGAAACCAAGGGGTTTCAATTTTAACACCCTGTCCCACCAAATGAAGTGCATTGTAAACTAATTAATATGATACATTTCTCTTACTTACCAGAGTAAGCCTGAGATGTGCCACACAATAGGCACCAAATTAATACGATTCTTTGACATCCCATTGCTGAGATCTTGTAAGCTCTTGTAAGCTCTTGTAAGTCAGTTTTACCAAGTTAAGACCTGCTATTGAGATTTCCTGAGTTTAAGGCCGGAGGTGGTGTGATGTTAACAGGAAATGATCTAATCTATTCTACTAAAACACATTTAAACTTTTCCATACAATTTAGTTTAATTCTTCGAGGTTGATAATACTAATTTATTGAATGATTAATGAAAGAGTGAAGGCATAATGGCTCTAAATGTTCAAACAAAGGAAGATAATTGCAATAAGTAATTAAAAAATAGTTAAAAATATTTAATTTTAAAATGCTATCACATCATTTATATTTTATTGTATGGAGACTTCTAATGACAGTTCCAGGAAGCTTTAGGAAATGTTTAACTGTGGAGTGGAAAAAACATTTGGAATTATGATAGAGAAATGTTAAGTACTGTATTTACTGTACTGAATCCACGTTATTCATTGTAATGTAACTGTAGTAACTGTGCAGTATTCCAGTATCTGTATTAAGCTCAGATTTGTTTAATTAATGTTTATCAATATATGTAAAATCACAGTAATAGCTATATAACCGCCTCCTTAAATGAGCAAAACACATGTAAAATACAGACTGTATGAATATTACTCATAATATACATAATAATATATAATATGAATTATAATATTATAATATGAATATTACTGTATGAATATACATAATAAACAGTTCAATTGACAATACTGTTTTTGTTTTCACTAAGCAGAATAAAAGTTGTAAATAATGAACAAATGAAAGAAAAGGCTGTTCTGAATCTGTCTTATAAACAGGCAATGTCTGAATAAAATAACAGGTAAAACTCAGAAACATGCCATTCTTCTCACAGGCGTGGTGTGGACAATACAGTAACATAGTTGTCATTCTTTGTGTTATAGTGACACCAGCTGGCGTGAAACATTTTTTTTCACTGATGAACAGTAGTAACTGTATGTTTAAAATAAAATGCATGTCACACATTTGAGTGCCAAACCACCTCCGAGGACCTGCAGACTAGTCTGGGGCCCTGCGGTACCCAGTTACCATCTGTCGCCACCAGGAGGCGCTGCACAGGGTTGAATTGGGGAGTCTGTGTACTGGAAGGAGAGACTTACACACTCGGCTCTCTTTTCACGGTGCTGCGAGTAGCACTGCTAGCCAGCGGTGAGGCTGCAAGCGAGAGGCGGCAGGCAGCCAGCACACCCTTGACAGACATGGACCACCGGCCAGTGGTTAGGCCCTGGTGCCCACGAACCCAACCTCCAGTTATTGGTAAATCCACATTTATACACATGCCAGCAGCCACATCACTCTGTAACTCACATCTGGCAGCCCACTGAAGTCTCAGCAGGTGTGAGCCTGGTCAGTAACTGGATGGAGACCTCCTGGGAAAGACTAAGATTGCTGCTGGAAGAGGTCCTGGCCAAATTTCCCATTGGCTCTTACCAAAAAGGCCTGCTTATAATCCCCATCTTGAACTGGCTTCATAACTCTGTTCTCCTCCCCACTGAGAGCTGGTGTGTGGGGAGCGGACTGGCGCATCATCCAGGTGGGGCTGCACACTGGTGGTGGTGGAGGGGATCCCCATTACCAGCAAAGCGCTTTGAGTGGAGTGTCCAGAAAAGCGCTGTGTAAGCGTAAGCAATTATTATTATAAATAGCCTCACTGCCTTGTGGGGGGGGCTTGGGAAAGTTAAAGGCTAAGGGAGTGAACCCCGGATTGGAGCCCCAAAGGCGGTTGGTCCTACTGTTAGTCATCCTTCCGGCAGCTCCTGCAGCTGAGTTAATGCCAAAGGTCAAGCTTTGCACTCCTTCAGACCACACTGACGAGGCCGAGAGGGGGCCTCTGCCAACTGGGCAACCCAGGGTCTCCATACGCTTTGCCCAGGCTTGCACCCTGGAGAGGAGCCTATAGCTACCCGAGCAGCCAAGGGTAAGCATTCTTTCCACAAATTAAGTATGTCCCATTAGGTGTGACATCTGAGGGTAAAGGAAGGCTCAAGTTGATCCCGCCTATATCCATAGAATAGGACAGCACAGTCTCGCTCACCTTAACAGCTGCTTATCAGCCTAATAGAAGGTGGCCTTGAACTGTGACTATAGCGGAGAGCATAATTGGCACTAAAGTCAGTGATATGGAAACCTTCAGCTGTCATAACCTCCCCAAGAGGGGCTGTACAGTTAGTTCCATTCTGATCCATTTGAGCAACACTCAGACTAAAAGCAGAACTCTTTACCCATTCCAATGGTAAATCCCTCCCATATCTTGGTATAGCAATACAAACCCAACATGAGCTCTGATTATTGTTTGTGGCTGATAGATATGACAACACCAAGAAGGTATTGATTCCATATTCCCCATTATTAGAGTAACACTCCTTATGCTTAACAGGCACACTGTCAGCCCCCCCTCAGGAAGCCCAACAGACAGAAATGGTAACAACATCATTATTTCTGTTCAACAGAAACACATTCAACACGTGGATCCAGCTATCTAATCCTGTCACTCGGATGGCAGAGCTGGTAGTCAGTAGCACTTGACATGGTCCCCCCCAGGGGTTGCAACATCTGGCAGGGTATCTTCTTCACTCACACCCACTTGCGGGTGGCAGGTATCAGGTCATCTTCCCTTTTTACTGGAGGTCCACAAGCATCCAGCACCTCTTCACGACCCCTGTGCACTGCTTCAATTAACAATTTACAATACTGTAATAGAGAATCAGTTAGCAAACTCAATGATCCATTAGCCAAATTTGGCCCTCCAGGAAGTTTCATTGGTTGTCCCATGATGATCTCAAATGGGCTCAGTCCCACAGTTCTGTTTGATCCAGCCCACAAGCTACACAGGCTGCCTTCGCATCAGTACTCTGAAGACAGCAGTCCCAGACTGCACGAGTGTTTTACAGACTCCATCGAGAAAGTGCTCCAGAATTGCCTATTAGGCAATGCCGAGAACAGATGGAACAACATCCGTGATGCAATCTACATCAGAGCCATGGACACCTTTGCCAGGAAAAAGAGGAAAAGTCCAGACTGGTACGAAGCTGGATTTGCTGAGAATTTTGGGGTGTGATTTTTACCCCCCCACCTGGTGAGCTCATAGAAAAGACATTTCATTGACAGCAACTACTGCTGTATGCTGTATTGTTGTGCATTTGATAAATGCTTGATAGGCTGCTTGTTCCAGTCAGCCTTGACCTTAGGCATAAATATGTGCTAAATAAGCACAATCTCCCTGTTAATTTACACTTGTGTGACTGGATCATGCTGATTATAGAATCAGACATTTACTTTCTTTTGAGACAAGGAATTATGTTTTTCACTCCTTTGAAATTGAACATCAATACATTTTGTAAAGTGGTGATGAAAATTGCATACAACATTCCATTATAGTAACTGTGTACAGCATTGTACATGATACACTGAGAGACAGTAACAATATGACAGATGACCTCTGTACAAAATGATAAATGTTGCATCTTTAACGCCCTGCAGTACTGAAAGTCAAGTGAGCAGCTGCGTCCTGTGAAAAGAGAAGAAAAACACCATGTTGCAGCTGCAGAGCCTCTTTCAGTTTCACACCTGAAGAAGGCTCCACAGCTGGAACGTTGTGTTTCTTTTCTTCTCTTTTTAGCACCGAATAAACCTTTACTTGTTCCAT